TTTGAATCTGATGGCATTCGATATGTTCGTCGTCATATCAACAAAAGGTTCAGTAAAGGATACGTAATTCCGACTTTGAAGCATGACAGTGGTAATGATCTTGTATGGAGCGGCTTTTCAGCTTGCGGAATGATCCCATTAAAATGCACTGATGGAATTATAGAAAAACGTGCTTGCTTGGACATTTTATCGAAACATAAACTTCCCTCCAGTTGAATGCCTTCCAGTTGATGCCTTCCAACTTTCTTTTTCAACAGGACAAACATACTTTGCGGCTTGTAAAGGACTGGTTTCAGCAGGAAGGAATTATTTTATGGAATGGCCGAGCCAGAATTCTGATCTAAAACCATATTGAACATCTATAGGAAGTTCTGGAGAGAGTCTGTCGGGCGTTCAAAGCCATAACCTTAATGAAAAATTCGAGCTTTTGGCTAAGAAATGGATGGAAATTCAAACAACAACCATCGACAACTTGGTTGCTTCGATGAGCGCTCGGTGCCAGACTATTATTGATTCTGAAGGATCTTCCACAAAGTATTGAATCGATTTATTTGTTTTTGTTTTAATTTAGAAGTTTAATGGTTTGTTACGTCATTATTTAGAGTTGTTTTTAAAAGTTTCCAAATTTATGTCCTCTAGGTTTATAGATAAATGCATTAAAAATAATAGTTTTCAAAAAGTTCAGCAGTTCTGTCTATGGATTATTACGTGCTTTTTAGGTCTACATATTTTCGCTAGTAAACATACCGAATCAGATTTTACTAAGAAATTTTTTTTAGAAAAAACAAAAGTTTCCAAAATTATGTCCGCTACTGTATTTTTGAGTGATTGCATACTTTCTAAAATAAAACGCTTCATCAATTACATAGTTTCCCAAAATTTCAGAACAATCCAATCGATCGAACCGTTCTCTTTCATTTTTTAAAATCTTGCTTAAATTCAAACGAAAATGGATTAAATCAGCACAAAAGTGCATTTTGAGCCTAATTTGAAAATCAACCTTCCAAAGATTGGATTGTTCTGAAATTTTGGGAAACTATGTAATCGATAAAGCGTTATTTTAAAAAGTATGCAATCACTCAAAAATATATTTTATTTTGTTTTAAATTTAGCGCTGAGGAGGACGATATTGGTTCGTTTTAGGCACATTACTTGTGCCAGTTTTTATATTGTTTTGATCGGAATCTTTTTAGTTGAGCAGCCTTCGTCGTCTTCAATTGCAGATCGTACACGTGGACGATGTGCGAATGGACGAGAAGCCGTTCGACAGCAGAGTCGACAGCATAGGCGTCGTGATTTGGTTCACGAGTATGATGATAGTGATATGGTTGGCTAAAAAAATCAATCTAATTAACTTCGAATGATCAGGATACAAGTGCCTATGCTTATCAACCAGATGACGAAGACATGCTTGCGGAGTCTCAACAGAATGAACATACGGCTCCGCGTATTCCCAAGGACTATGGCGATATTTATGAAGCTATCAACAATTTCATCACAATTTTTGATGTCAGGTAATACTTAATTTTTTTTTTGTTTTTGGAACTTAATCCGGATCTTAGATATCGAAATGGTGGTATCTCTTCAAAGCCTCCACTCAACTTTTATCACGGTACACTTCAAGAAGCAGTTCAACAGGTAATTATCGGATAACTCAATTATGCATCTGCATCCGTATATTGGAAATGATAATGAAATACATTCACAGTACAAATTTTATTGGGCACTGAAAATCATGGCAGATCAAGGGTTGTACTCAATAGGGAGATTCTTGCGGCGGACCATTCCATCTCCTTGGAACCATTCACGGCGAAATTGCTTGGTGGCACCGTCGGGGGTGTTGGTCCATTCGATTATGATGCGGTCGTTGTTGGTCTCTTCATGACCGAAGGCAAAGGCATCGCATGAGACGGCAACCTAAACAAAACAATTAGTGAAGGTAGAATAAAATCAAAACAAGACAAAGGGAAATAAAACTTACAAGGACACCCTCCTTTGGGTCCAAAACACCGCATGGTAGGTCGACTCCAAGGCGCTTCATGTTGCTGGTCTTGATGGCCCAGCCGATACGACGACCGCCAGCATTGATCAGCTAAACAAGAAAAATAATAAATGACAAAGAAATAAGTTTTCAGGGTCATAAGCAAGTAAAAAGGGTCATAAGCAAGTAAAAAAATCGGAAAAACCATACCTTGATGTCGTGGGTGTGCTTGTCGTCGTAGGGGGCGTTGAAAACGACCTTCGCGTTGGGTTGAGTGATGATGTCGCCGGGTGGGATCGATTGGGCCGTCTTGTCGGGTTGAAGTCGAGCAGAATGATACCTAAAGAAAGAAAACATTTCCTTTTATTTGACGCTTAAATGGGTTAGTAAGCAACCCCTTACCTAACACCTTTTCTAAAATGATCTGCATGACTTTTTAAAGGTTCTGATATCATTATGGTATCGGAAACTTTAAAAATGCTCATGGAATGAAGGGAAATAGAGTAGGCTAATTTCCGCTATTTTATTTGCGCAACTCGCCATAAGATTGACCCACTTAGAAGAAATAATGGCGAGTTGCGAAAAAGACCCAGTTACCCAAATGAAATGGCGGAAATTAGCCTTAAGAAGATAGCAATTTAAGAAGATTTGAAGACTTTTATCTATTTATAAGATTACAATTGCTTACGCTTGCATTTGCTCTTGCTTTGCTTCGTCCTCTTGACGCTTCTTGATGATTGGCCACTTGGTCTCCTTCCAGACTGGAAGGGGCATCACCATGCTTGGGTCAAATGATGGAAGGGGCATCACCTTGATTGGGTCAAATGATGGAAGGGGCATCACCTTGATTGGGTCAAATGATGGAAGGGGCATCACCTTGATTGGGTCAAATGATGGAAGGGGCATCACCTTGATTGGGTCAAATGATGATGTCGATTGGGCCGTCTTGTCGGGTTGAAGTCGAGCAGACAGAAGTCGATACCTAAAGAAAGAAAAAAATTTCCTTTTATTTGGCGCTTAAATGGGTTAGTAACCAACCCCTTACCTAACACCTTTTCTAAAATGATTTGCTTGCCTTTTTTAAACGTTCTGATATCATTATGGTATCGGAAACTTTAAAAATGTTCATCGAATGAAGGAAAATGGGGTAGGCTAATTTCCGTCATTTTATTTGCGCAACTCGCCATGTGCATTTGTTGGTTGTAAACGGACCAGTCACTTAAAACCGCACGTCAATCGCAAATAAACTAATGTAAATCACGAAAAATGACATAAAAGCCGAGCAAAGTTTCCGATAACATCATGAAATGAAGTAAAATGAAAAGAATGGCAAAATGGGGAATTTTTGTGCGGGTGTTAGTTAGCTAAATTCCTTCAGATAACAATTTAAGTTAAGATTTGAAGATTTTTAGCTATTTATAAGATTACAATTGCTTACGCTTACATTTGCTCTAGCTTTGCAAGAACCTCTTGATTTGCAAGAGCCTCTTGATGCTTCTTGATCATTGGCCACTTGGTCTCCTCCCAGACTTTCAGATCTGAAAGTAACATTTATGCGTCTTTTCTCTAGAGTTCACTGGCCAAAAATCTGGCGAAGGTTTGACTAAAAACATTTCCAAATTTAAACTGACCAATTCCAGGGAAATCAAGCTTCTTTGGCTCCTCAGCGACCACTTCTTTCTCGAGAACCGATTCAACAGCAACACTTGTGGTAGAAGTTCCCGAAAGCGACTAAATGCTAATCATTGTCTTTGTAGCTATGTAGATTTACTTACCTTCGGCTGAGCAACTTTCAGCCCAAAAGAACCATTGTAGACAGAACGAAGTTGCAGCAGTTTGGCTTTCCTCCTCTCAGCAACCTCAGCAAAGTCCTGAAATATTATAATTATTTAAAACAAGACAGCTAATTTTGAGTCTTAAATTATCAACTCTTATATTAGGCTGTCTAGAAAGTCTTTTCGTTCCGTTTCGTACTTCCGTTTACAACCAACAAATGCACCAATTGATTTGTTCCCTGTGGACCAGCCCAACTCACCACAGATTCGGCCTTGCTCGCCTCTACCTCAGCCATCACAATCGATCGATCTATCAAAGGACCAATCGATCCATCAAAGAGTTTCGTCTCCATCTTGTTGATGAAATCACGGATCTTTTCTGAACTTTAGAAACGTTTACTTTGTATATGTTACGTCCGTTTACGAACTAACGTTCAGATCGGATTCGGACGTCCGTTTACGAACTATACTTAAATGCTAATTTGATGTTAATGGAACTGTTACGTCCGAATCCCAACACGATCTAGGAGAAGGCCGGAGCTGGGAGAGTCAGGTCTCTAAGGTGCCATAGCCTAGGAAAATGTAATATAATAGAGATCGTGTTCGGAACATGACGACTGTTCAGTCAACTCTATCTATTACATAAGCATTCTATCCCTTCATCCCCTTCATTCTATCTCCTTGATCACTCACCCTCAATGTCGTGACGAAGAGCGACGATGTAGCGCTGCTTGTCCATGACGTGGATTGATTCGGCATGATCGTGCCTGAAAATTTTAATAGTAAATCAAACAACTACTGTCGTAACTAATTGCCTAAACTTATCAGTACTTTTGGCTTAATATTTCTTGTCGAAAAGTCACTTATTTGTATGAAGTCACTCACATGCACTTTCCACAAACGGCCTCGTGATCGAAGCAGTTGCGATTCCGCCGGTTCTCACAGGAGAACACCTTCTCGTTGTAGCCGACTGAAATCAAAAGCGGAAATTGGTGAATGGATTTAAGCTGATCTTTTGTGAAATTGAGTTCAATAGTTAATTTTAAAACTCACAGAACTTTCCGCAACAAGTGCAATTCAAGAAGGAGAAAGCTCGCTCGAGAAGAGACATTTCCAAAAGAAATTCGAAGGTTAACGAATCTGAATTGAAAATAGGTAAAGGGAAAAGGTTTTGAAAGAGAAAAGTGAATAGAAATGAATTCTCGTTTGAGCCATCTTTCCTTTTATATTGCTGCTGATTGCTACAGTTCGGGCATTATTCGACATCTGCTGGCCAAGGGCTAAGTAGAAGAGACAATTTGTGCCACTAAGTCAAAAAATGAACGAGATAGTGCGAAAGAGAAAAATAATTGAATGAAAAATGGGAAATTGAACAATTTTGGGTTATTGATTTGATGGGGATTTTTGAAGATCTGAGACACGGTGTGGGGAAATCGATTGATTGAGAGATCAACTATTGGGTTGGTGGAAAAGTCCTTTCGGATTTTTTGGGAGAGTACCTTAAATTTGTCGAATTTTGAGTTGGACAATTTTGACGTTTTATAGCTCATCCTAAAGCTGAATTCAAGACGGATCGATTGGTATACCTTCGTTTTTCCACTTTTTTTTGTTTTATCATTTTTTTGATGTTGTTAGAAGGCTTTTTTCAGGAATTTCAGGAAAAAACGAGAAAAACGAAGGAAAATCGAGAAAAGCTATTGATCTGAGGGTCGCTGGTTCGACTTCCACCGGTGACAATGTTTGTCAAAAATTTTTAGCTAAGATTCTGAAAATTTGTGTCTAGGGGTTATTTTGGACGCTGATCACCAATAACATGTTTTTAGCCTAGGTTTCTGCACGGAAAACTAACGAAACGTGAAAACAGCCATTTTTTGGCTCTGCCGCCCTTTACCAAAATAGCTGTAAAAACTTTTAGAAAAGAGATATCTCAAAACGGTTTTTACCAATCGATCCGTCTTGAATTCAGCTTTAGGATGAGCTATAAAACGTCAAAATTGGACAAATTTAAGGTGCTCTCCCAAAAAAATCCGAAAGGACTTTTCCACCAACCCAATATCAAAACTATCAGCTACGGTCTCGTCACGTTGAAACACGATATCCCGTCAGATTTTCCAAGTTAAGAAAGGTCGGGCTCAGTTAGTTGGATTCGAATCCATGAGCTCGGCTTCGGCTCTGGTTCGAACCCATGAGATGAACCAGGGGTCTTTTCCCTGATCCGAGTGCTGTAGGCTCGGCTCCCGTCCAGCTTTGGTTAGATGGGTAGTAAAGGTGCTAGCTCCGTAATGCGACTAGCCTTCGCCGTCGCCTACTCTTCACCGCTAGAACATTTTCCTGTGGGTAAAGCCTTGATCGGGTTGTTACGAGCGGGATACGGTAAAACCAAAACCAAAAAAATACAAAACAAAACGAAAAACAATGTTATTTGAAATGTTGAAGCCTGAACGACAGGTGACCAGTTGCATTGGAGGATTTCTGTAGAACTTTTCCAAGCGTCGTTTCTTATTTCAGAAGCGCTCTCTCTATGTGCTCTACGTAACTATGTGCTTAGCGTAAAAGATAATCCGGATGAGGTGAATTGATTCAAACCACAAATTTGATTATCATTGTCGAATTCGTGAGGTCAATCTCATCCGATTTCCGTTCGACACGAGCATCCAACATCGAGATTCGTTTTCGAACAGCGATCGGAGCCTCTCTTTTCGAGATTATTTAAAACACTTTGGAATGAAATGGAACAAGAAAACGCAAAGAAAGATTGATGGGAAGAATAACTGTGCGAGTTAGGTGGTTCGGTTTCGGAATGTAAAAAGTCTGGACGCTTGACTCCAATTCAGATGCCTATGCTTATCAACCAGATGACGAAGACATGCTTGCGGAATCTCAACAGAATGAATATACGGTTCCGCTTATTCCCAAGGAAACACTAATCGGTGGAAACAATCACATAATAGGCTCAATATGTGTCCGCTTCCTCTTTCTACCAGGCATCTGAATCTTGTCTCTATTTTTTGTCTTTACTGCTTTACAAGAGTGTTTTGAAGTGATTCAATGGCCGATGTGTATCGACGCGAGTTTTAATGGCTCAAAATTTTACATTTATCCTTCTTTTAAAGAAGGCTTTTGCAGGCAAAATGTCATTCTTTTCCCTTTTCGACTACAAGTATGGACGATCATCGGGACGAGGTTTATTTCGACTTGCTTTTTTTGAGTTTTCTTTAAATTAGCTTCTCGCAGTCAGGATATTTATTTGAGTTAAGATTTTGTAGTTCAACAAAAATGAATGTATTTAATTAGTAAACCGATTGTTTCTATTTGATATTAATTTCATTGATCTAATCTTGCTATTTAGGCTGATACGGCGGAAATCGGGATGGCACACACCGTGATGTCATCAGTAAGTGTTTATAGTTGTTGTTTGAAGCTTGAAATCCTATGAAACGGTTGATATTGTACGAATTGACCTTAAAAAAGATTAACAGGAGTAGCATTAACGTTTAAGCCGCTTTTACCTTTTATCAAAATGTGTGTTTCTTTTAGGTTGAACCTGTGGCCGCTTCTCGCGTGCGCTACACAAAGATTCGAGACTCTGTGGTGGGTGATTTGTTGCATATTGAAAATTTTTGGCTTTTTAATAGCTTCAACGCTTGACGTTTTACATCTATCATTTTTTTTAGGCTGGTGGTCTTGCCACATTTTCTTCGGAGCGATACTTCCACAGCTTCATCGAGCGCGATGAGGCCAACGAATTACTCACCACGCCCGGTGAGTTTCTTTTTATTTGGCATTTATGGCTTTGGTTTCAAGATTGGCTTTAATAATTGTGTTCTTTTAGGCTACTTCTTGGTTCGGCAAATCTTCGCACACGAGAACACATCGAAATCGCCACTGGTATGTTTGGGCGCGTTTAACTGGAATTATTTTGTGTGTTTAGGATCGAAAGTACCAAATCATGTTTGTCAATCAGGACGGAATGATCGAAGAGGTGAGCTTGAAGCTATTTGAATTGCTTATTTGCCATTTTTATTGAAATCTTTTGCTTTAGGTGCCCATTCGCTACTCGCGCACACATCGCTGCTACTACGTGAACGAATTTTGCTTCAACAACCCGGGAGGTTGGTCGTTTTTAGTTTTTTATGAATTTGACAAATTTAGGCCTCATTGCCTATCATCGCGACTATCGTGTCTCCGTTAAGCAATTCGAGGTAAACTGTGGTGTCTTCTTGAACGTGGAATGTTTCCCTTAGAACAAATTGATCAAGCATGGGATCAACAAAGAGCGCTGGGAGATCTTCCACGAGCAGATTCAACGGTACGTTTTTTTGGAGTCGTGTTATCTAGCTACTATTTGAGTCATGACAAACTTTGCAATTTTTTTAGCATCAAACGACTTGGATCTGGAAATTTCGGTCAAGTCTTCAAGGCCTACTACCGAGTCGGACTTCTCAAGCGCATCGAGGTGAAATTTGCCGTTGATATCTTAAACACTTGACTGAGGAGAAAGTTTGTCCTTGTACTTGTATAAACACTTGCCATTAGGTTGCAGTCAAAATTCTCACCAACGTGAGAGCCGAAGAAAGTGAGGTGTTCATTAAGGTGAGATCTTTTGCTTGAATTACAAACTACTAAATTTTTTAGGAAGCACAGACGATGCGCCGCTTCCAATCTTGTCGGCATGAAAATGTGGTGCACTTCCTCGCCGTCGCCTGCTACCAAAGTCCAATCATGCTCGTCATGGAGTTCTGTCCATGTAAGGGAGTTGTTTCTTTATCTGAAATTCTATCTTTTATATTGTTGATCGACTAACTGAAGTTCAGACTTAAATTTCAAAACGTTTGCTTTAAGCCTAACGTGTAACTTTGCCTTTTTTCAGATGGAAGCTTGAAAGATCATTTGGGCGAGGGGTACGAAGGAAAATCAACCGGACAGGTGGGTACCTACTAAGTGCTTGGTTTAACTAATTTGTTTAGAAGCTCGCGACTGAAGGGGAAACGGTGCATTGGATCGCTGGTGCTGCACGGGGTCTTGACTATCTTCATACAAAAGCAGGGGTAAATAGTACACTCTGTCTATTCTATGTATAATGTGCTATTTTGGTGTATTGACTTCTAATTCAATGATCTTTTGATTTAGATTGTGCATCGCGATGTGGCTGCACGGAACGTGGTCATCGGAAGCAATTATGAGGCGAAGATCACGTTCGTTTCTTTCATTTACTTCACTTTCAATTGGGTTTTAGTGATTTTGGAATGTCCGTCAAGGGAACGATCAAGGTGGAAAAGCTGCAGAACGTGAGTGTTGTTTGGTTTACCGAGACTCGTATTGTAGAAGGTTGTATTGATGATCAAACTTTATTCTTGATTTTAGGTGCCAATTCGCTACTTGCCACGAGAGACACTCCAGGGAAAACAATTCGATCAGCGCACTGACGTTTGGGCATTCGGCGTTCTCATCTGGGAGGTAGGTGTTGATCGTACTTTTTTTGATGTCTATACAGGTAATTGTTGTAAGCAAATGACTCTTCTTTACTTAGTGCTACAACGAATGTCGAGATCCATACGACGATTTTATCACCGATATCAAAAGGGTAAGTTTCTCGTTTTGTTTTTAACAAAAGTATCTACATTTCCTTTGTTTTAGTTGGTCTTCGCGTTCCGAAGAGGTTATCGTCTTGCGCCCGGTCCCAAGTTTCCGGTCGAAATGTGGAAATTGTGCAGCCTCTGTTGGGAAGACCGCCCCGAATCGAGGTTTGCTAATTTGGAGCTGAAGTGCATAGGTTAAAAGCTGAATGACTTTTCGAGAGCAACTATCGCCCTTACTGATCAAACCTTAAATGATTTTGCAAATTTTGATCGGTCTTTGATTGCTGCTATATTTCTCTTTTCCAGACCGACGATGGAACAAGTTGCCGCCATTGCCACATTGCAGTATCAAAAGCAGAGCTCATGGACTTCGTGGATGTACTCGTGGTGGCACAAGAAACAGGTAGTCTTTGCTTTTGTTGATTAAAATAATTAAAAAAGGCACTGAAAGTTTTGTAATCGATTTATATTGGCCAACTAAAGACATAAAACTCTAGGTTTCTTTTTAGCCCACTTATCGCATGACGCCTCAGTCAAATTGGCTTTCGGTGTTCCCCACTCAGCCAAAGATTCCCGAATTTGAGCACGATCAACAGAAGATGATCAAACTTTACGAGCAAGCGCCCAAGAAAAAGGACCTGGGGAAAACGAAAGAGGAAAAGAATTGAATTCGATTTTTTTAAAAATTCAATTCGAAAGAATTGAATTGCGTTTAAATGCTTTTAATAAATATGTGCAGGTTTGGATGGCGAAAAGCGCCAGTAAATGGTAACACTAAGTCTTGTTTTTAGCTGATAAATGAGGATTTTTGTATGAACTTTTGTCAACTGACATTGGCGACCAAGAGTGTTTTTTGAAAACTATAAAGAGCCTAAAAAAAGAAAAAGAAAAAAATCATTTTGGACCAGAGAAATCGAGGATCTGATGAGATCAAATTTTGCCTTGTCCCACCGATGAGCCCCTAAACGCCCCTAAAGCCCCTAAAGCGAGAACTAAACTTGAAGAGTCAAATCAAATTCTTAGTTTGAATCAACTCACCTCTTCCCGATTATCTTTTGCGCTAAGCACATGGTTACGTAGAGCACATAGAGAGAGCGCTTCTGAAAGAAAAAACGACGACTGGAAAAGTTCTACAGAAAGCCTTCAATGCAACTGGTCACCTTTCGTTCAGGAACTACGTTCTGGCTTCAACATTTTAAATGACATTGTTTTTCGTTTTTTTTTGTATTTTTTGGCTGTTTCTTCTTGTTTTGTATGTCCCATCTCCGCATTTTTGTTTTGTTTAAACTATTTTGTGTCTCCACTCTCCTCTTTGCGAACCCCTTTCCTTACTCCGGCTGGCCGGAGCTCGTACTCCAAGAGGGGGAGAGTTAGATTCTTATTGAGGTGCAGTTTTAAGGGACTGGCGCAAAAGTGGCGCGGCGCACTTTTTAAAGCGTGGATGCGCTATTGTATCTCGCTCGTAACAATCCGATCAAGGCTTTACCCACAGGAACATGAGTATCAACAGTTCATTCGATATTATTTGCGCGATGAATCAGGCTTTGATCCACTCGGATAAAGAATAAAGAAAGATAAAAAAGAAAAATATTTTGGTAACCAATCTTAGGCGTATTTTAACCGTAATATCGTCGATTTCCCGGTCTGAATCAATAACGTGAAAGCCACTTTCTTCCCCCCCAATCCCCAGCCAATTTGTGGGTTTTTGAAAAAGAAACATTTGCTCAAGTAGTGCGTTTTCTAAAACATGTAAACTTACCGTAATCTTACAGTATTTCTTCAGTAAAAATCAGCCAGCCGTAACCTGTCAATGTGATGAATATGATTTACGGCTGGACACTGGATTTCCTGATATGTGGATAGCCGATCCCGGGAAACAAGTCGCTGTACTCCGCCAGCGACCGCACATTTGAGGATTGGCCAGGAAATTATTGACATCTAAAACTGTTTTGCAATCTTATACAAATCAAATTCAATAAAGTAACAATTTTTTTTTTCAAATTTTTTGCTAAATTTGTTTACTCAACGTATATGAATTTCTATAGTTATGAAAATACTTTAGCAATTGAAAATACTTTAGCAATAATGAAAATACTTTAGCAATAATGAAAATACTTTAGCAAAGTTTTCCTTAAAAACGCCAAAAAATGCCCCGAACCGGGATCGAACCGGTGACCTTTAGATTTCTGACCCGCTTCAGTCTAACGCTCTCCCAACTGAGCTATCGAGGCGCTGAGAGGGGTCTCTCCGTTTCGGGTAACAAGCCGAGAGACGGGCAAATGGTCGCCCGGCGAGAGATAGAAAGGCGAAAAGAGGCCCAGACATGAATTTGCTTTTCTCAAGCAATCGGTTTTCTAAAACGCGTCAACTTTCAAGAACTACAGTAAAATTGTCTTTATTTTCTATTTCATCTATTTAATCTTACGCTAGTAAACTTTTGTTTTTTGTAGGCCCAGCTAGAAAATGATAAACAACAAAAATAGGTCAAATTTTTTATAAAACTTTCATTTACTGCTTCATTTGCTCCTTTAGCAAAGCAGGATAGCTGAAAGGCTTGAGAATTATCAGTTAGACCAAAAGTATTACTAGGTTTATCCATTTTGAGTTAGGGAAGATGGCAAAAAAAGACTACGCAGTCAATTTGCTAAATTACAACAAGTTTTTAAATCCTAATTTCTGCATATCTGCATAAATGTTCAGCATCTAGCTGAATCTAGCAGCATTCAGCAGCATTCAGCAGCATTCAGCAGCATTCAGCAGCATTCAGCTAGATCTACTTTTATATTTTTAGATCGATATTCGACATCCTCACAGAATTAGCTCAAAAATCGAAGATTTCGATAAAAATAGAGATAAAATAACGGTAAAAAAAGAAAAAGTTGAAAGGTTTTAGAAAAAACAAATAAACTCTACTATAAAAAAATCCCCTAAGAGCCACTGGATAGCTGAAAGGCTTGAGAATTATCAGTTAGACCAAAAGTATTACTGGGTTTATCCATTTCTCTTTTCAAATAAAGACTTTTTTGTATCCTTGATGACTAGAGGGGGAAAAAATCGTTTTCTAGACAATTCTCCCGTTTTCCTTTTAGACATTTGAAGTACAGCCACTTGAGTCGCACTCCCGACATTGAAACATGCTTGTTTGTGAAAGGAAACTCGCGAATTACTCCTTGTTTGTGAAAGGAAACTCGCGAATTACTCCCGCTTTCTCTAGAAAACTAATTTCTTTACGACCACGCTCGTCGCCTCGATAGCTCAGTTGGGAGAGCGTTAGACTGAAGCCGCTCAGAAATCTAAAGGTCACCGGTTCGATCCCGGTTCGGGGCATTTTTTTGTTTTGTTTAGGAAAACTTTTGCAAAAATTACTAAAATAACTAAAGATTACTATAGAAATATGGAAATTCATAACTATAGAAATTCATAGAACTTGAGCAAACAAATTCGGGACAGTTACTTCAAATAGTTTTTCTTCTAGAGTAGTTGTTCTATTTTGTAACTGTTAATCCTGACTAGTGTGTTGATCTCGGATAATGCAATTTTGAAGCGTGAAATTAGAATTTGCAATTCTAAAACGTGAAATGCAGAAATGCAAATTCCATTACATTTAACGCAAAGATTGCTTCGAAAAAGGCTAAGAAAGTTTTTAATTTATAAAGTTTACTTTCAAATTTTTACTTTTATTTTTAAATGTCATTTTTTATGTTTCGATGATTTAGTCAACTGACTAGAGCAAATAATTATGATGAACAACAGCTTATGATGAACAACAAAGAATTCTTTTGCGCAAAATTATCCAAAGAATCATTTGTTCAAGATCAGCGCTCTAATTCTGATGAATTTACAAGAGCTGCGCAAAAAAATACAGGATGCGCCATAATTGTCGCAACAAGATAAAGTTCTGATTTTAAGGCAGACAAGAGCAAGACAAGAGACAAGACGAGAGAAAAACGACAAATCTTTAACTGAATAGCATTGATTGTACATTAACAATTATAAACAACTATCAAATTCGAATCGGTCACCATTAGCATTTGAGCAGGCTCGCAGGCGTTTCGAAAAGGCATCAACGGTGGTGATCAAATCGGCTGGATCGAGCTTTTCCCACGCTTTTAACAGTGATTTCTTCAAGCTTTCGATGTTTTTGTGGGGACTTTGAACAAGCTTTGGCTTCCAGAACCGACCACATTAAAAAATTCATTGGGTTGCGGTCTGGAGAGCTAGATGGCCACTCAGAAAAAGAAATGAAGTCCCATGAGTTGTTTTGGCTGAACTCTTGGACTTCCTTGGATTTGTGGGCCGGTGCGCCATCTTGCTGATAAGTACAAATGTTTACGAGCCCAGGGCAAGAGTTCATCCTTGAGAAGAGCCAGGTAGTTTATCGAAATTGATTTTCACGCCTTGGGGAACAAATATGAGTGGAGTCTGGTGGCGTCTGGTGATGATCGAATAAGCTGAATCAAATATCAAATTCGAATCGGCCACCATTACCATTTTGAGCAGCCTCGCAGGCATTTCACAAAGGCGTCAACGGTGGCGACCAAATAGGCTGGATTGAGCTCTTCTCAGGCTCTCAACAGCTATTTCTTCAAGCTTTCGATGTTTTTGTGGGGACTTTGAACAAACTTTGGCTTCTGAACCGACCACATTGAAAAATCCATTGGTTAATGGTGAACAAGAGATTACGATGGTCGATTCCATTGAAGCGCATCAATAACTGATCTGCTCTCAATTTCGCTTGTTTTTAGCGGGATTCGAAAGAAGTTGAGCCTTGTTTTTCTTGTAAGCAGTAAGTTTGAGCTTATTTTTGAGGATCCGACACAATGAGGTGCTTGAAATCGCCATCTTCTTTGCCATTTTCCTTGCCGACTGGTTTGGCTTCTTCCGAATTCGGTCGCTCACTCGCTTGATGTTTTGTGATGACAGTTGGGTGTCTACCGCTTCTTGGTGCATCAGTAATTGTTCCCGTAGCTTCGTAGCGTTGAATAGTGCGGAAAATGGCACTTCTGTCGACTTTTAGACGCTTATGAATCTCCGGTGCCGAGACTGTGCAATTCGATGATCGATTGTCGATGGGGGATTATCCAACCATTCTAAAAAGCACATTTTATATGAAAAAAGTTTTAATTATATTCCAAATATAATAAAAAGACAAAAAAAAGCAGAAATGAAGCTTAAATCGCAGAAATAAAGCTTAAGTTTATTCTCCATGAACGACATTGTGATTGCGACAATTATGGAGCACTCTGTACAATCAGACAAAGAAAGTAGACGATTGTTTTTACGATAGGTTCCGATAGTGAAAGAAAGTTGACAGTTTACAATAGTTTTTCCAAGTTATCCATTTTTTAGCGAACATTCAAACAGCCCAACACAACAAATTTCCTGATAAAGAGAAAACCGGTAATTTGACCCCTTTGTTTTACGAGAAACTCCCCTATCCAATCACTTTTTTTTACACAAATTACCCAACTTTGATGTTAACCAATATTTTTGAACCTACAAAGATAGGCGTTTTTTTTTTCTGTCAATGAATTGACAAGAGCGAGTCTTATTCCCTTTTTCTCATTCTTTTTCATTGCATTCGCTCACAAACCATCCCTCAGGCATCTCCTTTTTCCCATTTTTCATTCAATTTTCCCCTCACCACTTCAATTTCTCAACAACC